GAGAGTGTGGGTGAATGGAGTTAAATCCAGTTGGCAGCTGGTCATGAGTGGTCTCCCTCAGGGCTCAGTTTTGGGGCTTGTGCTGTTTAATATCTTTATCAGTGGATGAGGGGATTCAGTGCTCCCTCAGTAAGTTTGCAGATGACACCAAGCTGGGTGGGAGTGTTGATCTGCTCGAGGGTAGGAAGGCTCTACAGAAGGATCTGGACAGGCTGGATCAATGGGCAGAGGCTGATTGTATGAGGTTCAACAAGGCCAAGTCCCAGGTCCTGCACTTGGGTCACAACAACCCCATGCAATGCTACAGGCTTGGGGAGGAGTGGCTGGAAAGCTACCTGGCAGAAAAGGACCTGGGGGTGCTGGTCGACAGCCGGCTGAACATGAGCCAGCAGTGTGCCCAGGTGGCCAAGAAGGCCAGCGGCAACCTGGCTTGCATCAGGAATAGTGTGGCCAGCAGGAGTAGGGAGGAGATCGTGTCCCTGTACTTGGCATGGGTGAGACCGCACCTCGAGTACTGTGTTCAGTTTTGGACCCCTCACTACAAGAAGAACATGGAGTTCCTGGAACACTTTCAGAGAAGGGCAATAGGCTGGTGAAGGGTCTAGAGCACATGTATTGAACAGGCTGCCCAAGAAAGTGTTTGAGGCACCATCCCTGGAGGTATTTAAAAGACATATCGATGCAGAGCTTAGGGACATGGTTTAGTGGTGAAATTGACAGTGTTAGGTTGATGGTTGGACTCAATGATCTAGACGGTCTCCTCCAACCTAAACGATTCTATGATTCTGTGCTAAACTACTCAGATCAGTTACAAAAGCTGACAGAACAATTCTTATCCTCCCTTGCGTTTACAAATACCTGAATTCTGATCTATTTTCTGAAAGATCCCCGATTCAATCAACTACAACTGTAACTAAACTCAGCAGGTGATGGTATGACTGTTCATGGAAACATCTCTGGAGATGGGAAAACAAATTTTTTTTTTTTTTTTTAGCATCTGAAATTGTCAGTTCCTCCCCACTGCTTGTACTGCAAAGTTATTCTGCATCTGCTGGAGCTGCAGCAGGGTTGGTTGGTGTGGTAGTCAGTGGAGCTGCTATGCAATGCATGCAATAAGAATTCAGTGAAACCCATCTGCCCGCTCCTTCCCCACCCTCATCTGGATGGAGAAGATGGTTACTGTCATCCTTAGTGCCGTTCTGTGCTAATTCCCATTGAATAAATTGGGAAATTCTGTGCTAATTCCCATTGAATAAATTGGGAAATAACTATTTGGGGAAATAACTATTAACACAGACACCGTACAGCTTTCAATGTTCACACAGGTCTCAGGGTTTCAAACACTGAAAACTGCTGGCTTTGTCCCGTTGCAGTCGCTGTTACGCATCTTGATAAACCTCTGAAGAAACACGGAGGAAAAATTATGGGGCTTTAAGGCTGTTAAATGTCACTGGTGTATTTCTGTGTTTCCTAACAAGTTGTTTCTACCCTCCCTCCCTGACTTATAAAGGAGCTGAGCTGGCAAATCTCTTGTTCAAGGCGTACCCTTCTCAGATTTTTGTGAGATTGCTGCTTTGCTTTGCAAACCAGAACTCCCCAGAGAAGTGTGCCTGCCACTGCCAGTACCTCTGCCAGTCAGCATCCAGGTCGGAGGCCTTGTGTTGCTGTCCTGCAACAGCCAAAGTGGTGGCAGCTTCCTTCGGTGGTCTATTTGAGGCTGTGAAAAGGACAGGCCCCCTCTCCTGTAGTTTTGAACTGTAACAAAAATCCTTCAAAAAGCCTTCATCATGGGAGATATCTGGCTGGTTGGATTGATGGTACTTATGTACATCTGGTTTCCCAAGGTCGCTGCTCAGCATCTCTTAAAAAAACCCAGGGACCAGAAAACAGAGCATACCCTCTTGATTAATGAAATCAATGCTGACAGCCCAGGAGAGGACAGTTCTGAGTTTGTGGAGCTCTATCACACCAGTGGTCAAACAGCCCGCTTGGATGGCTACTATCTGGTCTTCTACAATGGCAATGGAAACCAAGCCTACAAAGTTTTGAACCTCCAGGGCAAAGTTACTAACAGCCAAGGGCTCTTTCTTGTTGGCTCCTCTTCTGTGAACCCTGCTATAATAATTCCTAAGAACACTATCCAGAATGGCCCTGATGCAATTGCTGTCTACTATGGAAAAGGGAAGTACAAAGAGGGCATGAGCGTCACAAGTTATGGACTAGTAGATGCCTTGGTGCACAAGACTAAGAAGATGGACAGAGCAGATACGCTGGTCAGGGTACTGACCCCTGGCAGAGATGCTTTCCTGGAGGACTCCACCTTCAGGACCATGGATGAGTCAATAGAAAGGTGCCACAGGGCAGATTCTCAGTGGATCTTCCAAGTGGCCATGCCCACCCCAGGCACAGAAAACCACTGCATCCTAACTTCTCAGCTCAACACATCTGCTGTCCTCATCAGTGAGGTCCTTACTGCCTCTTCTTCTGAAGAGTTCGAGTTCATAGAGCTTCAGGGTCCCCACTCCACCATGCTGAGGGACATTGTTCTAGTGGTGATTGATGGTCGGAGCAAAGACATTTATCTCACCATGGACATTTACGGCAAAACCTCACTGGATGGGCTACTTCTGATTGGTCCAGCACAAAGCAAAACCCCAGGTAAGGACTGCATTTTGATGACTACCTCAGAGCTGGGGGAGCCATCAGCCGAGTTTGGGGCTGGAGGGTGCTGTCGTTCTTTATTGTTGTTTGGTGTTCTGAGAGATTAGTGAAAATGTGACTCAGAACTCAGGGGCAGACAAAAAAAGCAAATCAACTGTTAGAAGTTATTGGAAAAGGAATTGCCTAAAACCAATTAAATATTAGAAATTATTAGAAGATGAAAGAATGGAGGGTATCTTTTATGCTACTGTATAAATTCATGGTTTGCTTGTATCTTTAATTATGTCTTGTGTAGTACAATATCTTAATCTAAAAAAGGATGTATTAGAATTGGAGACATTCAGAGAAGGTCAGCTAGGATGGATAGTGCTCTGGAAATGCTTCCACAGAAGAAATAACTCAGTACACCTAGAAAAGGGAAAGCCTAGGAGGGCCCTGACAGAGGTTTCAGAAATGTGAGTAGTCTGAAGAAAATGGACAGGGATTGATTGTTTACCCTTTCTCCTGGTACAAGAACCAGGTGAGGGACATCGTGAAGGTCAGAAGCCCATGTGTTCTCGGGAGGACACGGTTCTGCTCCCAGCCCTGTGGCCAGCCTGATGTGGGACCCTGACTGCACCACATCTCCTTGAAGTGCCCCCCTTCTCTGTGTAACTTGCTGGCCATTCACAGCAGATAAATGCTCTCTTCTCGAAAAAGCACCAGGGCTTTTCTTCCATTGTGCCATCTGCAAATGTAGGTCACACGTGTGTGAAGTTGCAATCTAAACTTCCTCCCAATGTTCAGAATTTCTTCCAGGCCACCAGAGAAGGAAGAAATATCTTGTTATTTTGGGCACCTCGAAAGAAGATTTTGGCAGCTGGATGAGAGTCTGCAGATGTCTTGTGTAATTCACTGACTCATGATTTGTGAGTCAAGGAGTATATTCACCCCTTACAAAGCTGGTTCCCATAAAAATACTTTTGCAACTAAAACTATTTTTTAAAGAAGTTGAGCTCCTTTTTACAGTTTAAACTGCTCCAAATACTTTCTCACCACAAGCAGAAGGGCTGATTGTCCAGCTGAGCTCTGCTTTTCTCACCAGGAGAGGTGCTCTGCTCTTGCCTCTGGATGAGCTGGGGCTGCTAGCAGTCAATAGCTAAGGGGCGGCCAAAGAAAGCAATGCGAAAGCACAACCAGCTTGCAGACTAAGCAGGAAACTTCTAAGGATTGCGTTTAACTCTTCCTGAAGGCTCACTCAAGTCAAGAAGGTGACTGGAGATATGCTCTGGCATTTTTTTCCAGTGAGGCTTTGTCAAGATGTTTCAAGCATACTGCACATGCATTTCAAAGGTTGTCCCCCCAAAATACCCAATGACACTGTTTGATTACATTTGTAATCATCATAAAAGGATACTGTCATAGTGACTTCATGCTGAGCACTTTGTGAGAAGTTAACTTAACCTGACCACATCAGATTTGGGACAGGAGCTCTTAAGATGGTCACAGCTCTTAGTCCTGTATTCGTACAGCTTGCCTGCCTGTCACTGCAGAGAACTTAAAGCTGTGAGAGCACCAGAGCAAAAGTCCTCCATTGACAGATGCTGATGTGAAAACTATCAATTGAATCACAGGATGGTTTGGATTGAAGGGACCTTTAAAGATCATCTAGTTCCATTCACCCGCTGTGAGCAGGGACATCTTCCACTAGATCAGGTTGCTCAAAGCCCCATCCATACTGAGCTTGAACACGTCCACGGATGGAGCATCACAGCTTCTCTGGGAAACCTGTTCCAACGTCTCACTGCCCTCACCATAAAATTTTTCTTCCTTATTTTTCTAACCTAGATTTACACTCTGTCAGTTTAAAACCATTACCGCTCATCCTATCAGTATAATCTCTGGTAAAATGTCTGTCCCCATCTTTCTTATAAGCCCCCTTTAAGTACTGAAAGGTCTCCCTGGAGCCTTCTCTTCTCCAGGCTGAACAACCCCACTGTCTCAGCCTTTTCTCACAGCAGAGGGGTTCCAACCCTCGGATCATTGCTGTGGCCTCCTCTGGTCCTGCTCCAACAGGTCCAGGTCTGTCCTGTGCTGAGGGCTCCAGAGCTGGATGCAGGACTCCTGGTGGAGTCAGAGCGGAGCAGAGGGGCAGAGTTACTGCACTCGCTCTGCTGCCCACGCTGCTGGAGATGCAGCCCAGGGCATGGTTGGCCTTCTGGGCTGCGAGCGCGCATTGATGGTCGAGCTTTTCATCCCCCAGCACCACCAAGTCCTTCTCAGCAGGTCTGCTCTCCATCCCTTCATCTCCCAGCCTGCACTGATAACGGGGGTTGCCCTGACCCATGTGCAGGACCCTGCACTTGGCCTTGTGCACTCACTGCCTATGTTATTAATGAAGATGTTGAACCATATTGGTCCCAGTATGGACCCCTGAGGGGCACCGCTTGTTACTGGTCTCCATTTGGGCATGAATGTGTGGATTGCAACTGTTTGGATGCAGCCAATTCCTTATCCATTGAATAATCCATCCATCAAACCCATATCTCTGCAATTTAGAGCCAAGGGTGTTGGGTGGGACCATGTCAATGGCCTTGCAGAAGTGAAGATAGGTGACATCAGTTGCTCTTCTCTTATCATCCAAAGCAGTTGCTCCATTGTAGAAGGCCACTAGATTAGTCAGGCAGGGGAAAAATAGTCCCCTGGGCAGGAGTGCATCAGGGCTAAGGCACAGGACTGCCCCTTAGTGTGTTGGTGCCTGGTGGCGCTTCTGGAGGACTAACCGCTTCTCCTTACCCCTCCCTCTGTCTCTCATGTGATTCTTACTTTAACATTTGTTCCCTGAAGCTATTTGCGCAGGGAGAAGTATTGAAATACCAGCAGTCCACTGCTTTTTACTGTCCTCAGCAGTTCCTACTGGATGCTGGGGAAATAGCTTGTGAAGGAAATAGTAAATACGAGGGAGGAAATTGGGAAGCTCATGAAACTGCGAAACTCCAACAAACCTCAGCCTTAACTGTGTGCTGGTATCATGGGCCTTTGCTGAATACGTGTGTGTATATGTGTAGAGTGTGTTTGTAAAAACCATGGACTGGTAAATGCTCGAATAAAATATAAATTCTTAAATATTTTTGTTTACTATTAAAGTAACTGCTACCTGAAAGGTTAGTGGATTTTGAACATCTCTTTTAGAATTAAAAATTAACTTTACGGTAGACAAAGTCACATCAGCACTTGCTTTCCAGTTCCCCTGCTTACGCATGAATCGGCTCCTCTGTTCACAGAACCAAAACAGCAGGATGAACTCTGTTCACATTTCCCCCTCCAGCCTCCTCCATGCTGTAGATCTGGCCACGAATGGGGAAATTCAGGCTGAGTGAACATGAGAAATGTTAGTGAGCAGGAAGATAGGGCAGCAGATGCCAAATTTGCAATAACCAGACAACCCCAGCCACTTCCTGAGTTCCCATGTCCAGCTCTCCAGAACTGAAGAGATGCTGGTTTCCTACACAGGGGTATTGCTCATGTGTTGCTTGCATGCCATCATTATTCCTGTCCTTGCTCCTGTGCAGTGGATCTGCCGTTCCCGGAGAACATCACCCGTCCTGTCCTCAAAGGTGGCCCCAGTGCCATTGCCCTCTACAGAGGCAACAGCAGCAGTTTTGTCCCGGGGAAGGCACTGCCGGTGACCGGCCTGTTGGATGCCTTCGTGTACACAAGCAACGAGGAACTGAACCCTGAGCTGCTGGAGATCCTGACTCCCGGCAGACATGCCTACAAGGAAAAGCGGTGAGAGGCTTCTTGCTGGGCAGGGCTGGGAGGAGAGTTTGGCACCAGAGTCACCCTTGCCTGCTGGGGTCATCTCTGCCTGGTGCCCCAAACCCCGGTAAGGACTGGAGGAAAAGTGCCACCTCCAGACCAAGGTCTCCTTGTGGAGATACTGAGTCCCAGCCATTTTCCACTGCCTGGTCTGAGTTTGTAGGTGTCCCCCTCTCCACAGCAGTCCTGGTTGCAGAATAAAGTACTTGAGGAGGAATTTTCTGACTAAATGATTGCTGATTCTTATTTTGTAATTTTTATTATATATTATTTATAAAAGTGTAATATAATAAATTTTCCAGTACCACTTTCAACAAGGAAATATTTTTCTTAGGTTTAGGATGGAATTTTAGGTCAAAATGAGGGCAAGGGTGGGACTTCAGTATCGCTCACGTGACCCGGGAGGAAATCCCTGCCCTGCTTCATCCAAACCAAGGACTGGAAGCTGAGTTACTGTTCATTCTGGGTTGAGCCACTTTCTTTTCGGGTTTTTTGGGTTTCTTTTTGTCTTTGTGGGGTAAGGGAAATGTTGGTAACCTCAGACTTTTGTGAGACAGGAGAACTGTTTCCTTCACATTTTAGATATGCTCTGCTAATGGGTGAAAGAGGACAATAGAGTGGGTACAGGACAGTGGAGCAGGTGGAGGAGCAGAGGCAAGGTGGCAATTACATGAATGTGGGGTGTGTAGAACCATGCAATAAGCAAAAAAAACCTGGGTAAGCTCTTGTGTGTGGCTTTGACAGCAAAGCACCAGACTTGACCTCTGTGTGTAATGGTCCACTAAATACTAATGTCCTGGCTCTGCAGCTGGAGGAGATTCACCCTTTCTGGATGGGCATGTGGAAAGACCATTTGAGACTACAGTGGAGTCAACTGCATTAGGAAAGGGTCACCACTTATTCACAGCATATTCCTGTTCCTTCCATTGCTTGTCTTCCTCCCACTTGTGAAAAAAAACCCTGCACTTGTCCTGTAAGGAGGTGGTCTCCTTCCCTGAGGAGCTCTGATCTGTGCAGCTTCTCACCGTGGGGCTTCACAGAATCATAGAACAGTTTGGATTGGAACAAACCTTTAAAGGTCTTCTAGTCCAACCCCCGATCATTCTCTTCACCTTTGAGTTGAAGGCTCTTGCTCAAGCATTTCATCTTCAGGTGCTGCCTTTCCAGTTTCTCTAACTGCATCTCACCATTCTTCCTAGTGGTCCCAGGCTGAGCATGAGGGTGTCTATACTGTCTTGCCTGTCTTCAGATCAGTCAAAAAAGCAGGCAGTGCTAGAAGAGAAGGGGTTGGATGGAGCTCTTCTCTCTCAAGATTTAGTGAGATCTTGGGCTTTTTTATTGAGACCAGAAGGTACTGATAAGGATAGGATATCTCTCCAAACCTGGTGAAGGGAGAAGACTATAAGTGCGTGGTTTCACCCTCTGGTGCAGGCAGATGCAACCAGTGAGTGAAGACGACTCAGATCTCTGGCTGGCGAGTCATGTTTTCTTTCATCTGTACATTTGTCTCTTGCAGGCACCAACTGGAAAATATGTCCATGAGCCAGTGCAACTGCTGCTCTGTGACCCGGGACTCCTTTTCCTATGTCCTCAGCAGGCCCACCCCTGGCAAATTCAATGATTGCCCCAGCAAACGCTTCAGCCAGACTCTTTCTTTCTGCCTTCATGTAGCAGGTGTGTATTAGATATTTCAGCTCCTGTAGGTAGGAGCTGCTAAGGGCAAGAGCACGATCACAAAGCCAGAGCTGTCCAGGAAGACCACTTGAAGTCATGCTGGGTTGTGTGAACATAACACCAAAGGAAATGCACCTAAGACATCTGACAATTTTCTGCAGTATTTTTCTTCATGACAACCCATGCCAAGCTGAGGCTCTCCAGTTTTCATTCCCATACACAACTGCTCGGGGTGAAGCCTTTTCAGGCCCTCGGAGTGATAAGCAGGAGCTGAGCTGTACCCATCTCAGAATGAGATGGATCCCGTGAACAAGGTTGCACTGGCTGGGTAACAGTTGGGTTTTTATTTCCTAGATTGCCAGGACTGGGTCCTGAAGTCAGAAGAGATCCTGATGGCTCTGGTCCAGGCCCTCGATGGATCCTGCAGCTGTGGAGTCTCTGCTGCCTACTTCAAAGGTGAGCTGGGCAGGAGCGGGGCAGTCCAGAGACCACCAGTGGTTAATGTCCGTTTGCTTCTGATTTTCAGCCCTGTGTTGCCTGTTGTGTTGTGTCCTTCTGTCTTGGATCAAAGCTAACTTGAACTTGGTGCTGATGACAGAAATATTGAGAGTTAGGCAAAGCATGGTGCTGTTCTTCCATGTTCCGCAGAGTGCTCCCATCTGCAGCTCCACCAACACCCATCAGTTCTCATCTGCAGGCCACCAGCTATTTTGTCCTTGAGCATTTTCAGGCAGATCTGGCAACAGGATTGACATCTCCACTAGGTGTTTGTTGTCTACTTGACCTTACGGTCCGTATGAACTAAGCCAAGTTGTAGCAGAAATGCAAGTGGCCCTACTGGTCTGTGTTGCTGTTCCGGTATCCCTACCAGGTCACTGTGGGAGTGTGATGAGCACAAGCAGACACATGAAGCAAAGAGCCATGACTGACTTTGCAGCCTGCATTGTCAGAAGCGTTATGTTTAGCTTATGTTTAGCCACCCCCAGAGAGACCATTCTGTTCACTGTTGGGACTACAAGGCTTCAAAAGGATGAGGACAGTATCTGGGTGTGCTGTGTGGCTTGGTCCCAGGATGCCCCTTGGCACAGGCAGAGCTCACAGTGTTGTGTGGATGGTAGGAGTTGCCCTGAGTCAATCTGACCAGGAGAGCAGTGGTGGTAGAGATGAGCTGGTGAGCTCTGTGTCTCTTCTAGGAGAAAGTGGGTCTTTGGTGGCATGGGGAAACTGAGGCAGTTCTCTGCTTGCCTCTGCAGAGCCAAAGGCAACCTGCCAGGACCTGGGGCTTGTGTTTACCACTCTGCTAACTGCTAAGTCAGAGGACCAGCTAAGCAGCCTGCTGCTAGCCTTCAAGACCTTCCTAGAAATGCCCAGACTTGTGAGTTTTGACAGAAGGAACATCACAGCAGAAAGCTCCTGCTTCAAGGATATTAATGTACCAGACCTGCCTTCAGGTACCTGTCATCTTTCTTGCAGGTTGGGGGATACAATGTGTTGGAGGGTGGACATGTGGGTCTAGCTCTCTTAGAGGAGGGAGATGTCCCTCCCTCCATTTCCCCAACTCTGGCAAAGATCCCTTCCAATTCCACCGCATCCAGTTACTAGAGCCCATATTGCTCATTACCTGGAATAACAGCAAGCTCTGTTGTTACAGCTGGTATTAGCCAGAGTATTGCCAAGGCTCTTGTAAGGAATATGGAGCACACAGATGATAAAAATCTGAGCTAGCATCCTCAGTCCTTTGCTGAATTTGGTCTCAAGCCAGCAAATAGTGTGCAACATTGTGTTGTTTCCCTGGGGCTCTGTGTTTAGGCCCGTATTTGTGACATTTTTGCTTTCCAAGGTGTCCCATCAGAGATACCAGAAGGGACTCAAGAACCTTCTGTGCAAGTGGCCAAGCTACTCATCAACGAGGTGAACCCAGACAACCCAGGGGGAGGAGAGGATGCAGAATACATTGAACTCTTCTACACTGGACAGACACGCTTTGACCTCCAGGGATACTGGTTGGTCCTCTACAACGGTAAAAATAGCCGGGCCTACCGGGTGTTGGACCTGTCTGGACACCACACAGATAAGCTGGGTTACTTCTTGGTAGGGAGCAGTGCCATGAGCCCAGCACCCATGATTAGGCTGCCCCCCAACACCATCCAGAACGGGGCGGATGCTGTGGCTCTCTACTACAGCAACACCACCCTCTACACAGTGAGCATGGCTGTGACTGCAGAGGGGCTGGTAGACGCTGTGGTGTACACATCCCGAATGCCAGAGAAGGCAGACCAGCTGATCAAAGTGCTGGTACCAGGGCAGAGCATCTTGTATGAAAACGATTCTCACAGCACCGAAGATGAGTCTCTGAGCCGCTGCCACAGCCTGAGCACGAAACTCCAGAGCAGCTTCCAGGTGGGTTGATGGCAAACATTCCTTCTCCATCATAGTCACTGGGAGGGCAGAAGTCCTTTGTCCGCCCATAGTCAATGGGAGGGCAATGGTCGTGTTTCAGTATGTCCTTTATTTGGGAGAGCAGGGCATTCTGGTGAGCCACATCTACCTCCTGCCATCATGCTCTCACCAGCCCTCACCTCTCTGCCCTGTCCACCTGCCTGTTGTAGGCCAGGTAACAGCTCCCTGCCCTGTGTAGCGTGGCTCAGAATCTGGAGATCCCTGAAGACACCTCACATGCTGGGCAATCTTCTTCTGGGCAGCATGCTGGACTCTCAATTACCCCAAGCCAGATGCGGAGCCACCTCTTCACCCCCACTTGTTTGGTGCCTTCTTTGGGATGTGTGGTACAGCACGTCACATCCCTAAAACCCAGCCTCCTCCAGGGCCAATGTGTGAAGGATGTGTCTCAACCACTGATGTGATTGATTTCCGTTAATTCATCTGAACTGTTCCTTTTTATTCCAGAATGTCTAGTTTCAGATAGTCCCCCTGAAGGAACATGACAGAGTATGTATTCTTGTCCTGAACAAGGCTGGGTAAGGGAGGGCTTTGCTGCTCCACCGCTGATGCCTGCTGGGATCAGGCCAGTGCAGAGTTGTGCTCAGGTCCAAAAGTGGGGCAATAAAACTACTTTAGAAGCAGAAGAGGTCTGCTGACAGGAGGGAGATGCATTTGCAGTGGGACAGGACCACAAGGAAGTGATGCTGTGGACTGGAGACACAAGTGTAGAAGTGCTCCCAACAGTAGGAAAAGAAAATTGTTCCTAGTCCTGAGGGTGGGAGTGAAGGCAATGATGGGGATGCATGGTGATGGGACCCCACAGTCAGGACAACAGATGGTGGGAGTGAGGAGCAGCTGGTGTGAGGCAGAACCACCATGTCCTTTTTGGGCCTCACCAGGGAGCCGTGGGAGACACAAAGAAGAGGTAACACCATGAGCAGCCATCAATCCACCTGAAGAGATGGGAGCAGCAGTGGTGGCAGCAGCTTTTGTGTCTCCCCACAGGTGACCACAGTGACACCTCTAGGGGAGAACTTCTGCAGCAGCTCCTCGGTGCCGGTCCCTCCTGTCGTTCACATCAGTGAGCTGTGCCTGGCCGGTGGCACTACCCCCTACCACTTCGTTGAGCTGGAGGGGAAGCCTGGCACCAGCCTGGGAGGGCTCAGCCTGGTCTTCTTCTCAGGGAAGGAAGGCAAGGTGCATGCCAGTGTCCCACTGAGGGGCACAGTTGGAGCCACGGGGCTGTTCGTGTTTGCACTGGACAGAGCGCATGGGCACGGTGAGGCTGATGGCACAAATCTGGCGTGTGGTCTGTCTTCAAACAAATGGGATGGAGGAGGGTGCATGGTGTGAGAAACAACTCTTCCTTGCATTTCCTGTCCTTTAATTCTGTTTTTTCTCCCTTTGTTCTGACTGGGCTGTTTGGTCACACTCCACCTGCGAAGGTGCTTAATCCTCCTCCGTGAGCTCCCCATGCAGGGCAGAGGGACTGGGAAGACTGAAAGCCCCTCCTGCTGCTACCAAGACAAGCGGGCTTTCAGGAGCAGCAGGGTCCACCAGGACTGTCGGGTCGTTTGCTGATGCTCACTGAGCCCTGCAGCGCTGCTGCCTCCTCCTGGTCCTGAGGTGGTGTTTGCTTGGAACGTTCGTTTATCTTGAATTATTTTTTGTTCACCTTAAATTCTGACTGGGCTCCATGAAGAAGACTCTGCATCTCAGAGGAACCTGGGTCTTTTTTGGAAACCTGTGTTCACAGCAAGTGGTCTCTTCTTTACAGCTTTACTTGGCCCCAGTCACCAACATTATTTTGTCTCCCATTTCTGTTCTTGGAGTTCTCATTACCAGCTTGTCCTGTCAGGCTCAAGACTCAGCCTAACACTATCTAGATGTTCACCCTATTTATTCCCTGGCATTTCCAGATGGCACAAACCTGATTTTCAAGGACATCTCTGCTGCTAGTGAAGGCTCCAGCGCTATTGCTGTGTACAGCACCAGCGTGGTTCCTGGTGGCACAAAGGCAACATCAGAAAACTTGGTGGATGCCTTGGTTTACACATGTGAGCCCAGTGCAGCTGGAGGACATTTGGACTTCCTCGGAGCATCTTACGCTGTGCCCTGCAAGGATGACAGGTGAGGTCGCTTCTCTGGGAAAATGTCTTTGGGTTCTCTGCACCCAGAGCCTCCGGCTGGCATGTCGCTGAGCTTGCCGCCTTGTCTGGCGTCCTGTACGGCTGATGCATTCACTGGCGCTGTGATGAAAAGCAGAGGTGGGCAGCACATTGCAATGGAAAATGTTGCCTTGGCCTTGGCATAGGGAATAGAACTTTGTTCCTCCACTGCTCACTTAGCTTTCTTCCCCCAAGGGATACGTGTGGCATCACATGAAGGAATGCAGCCTTTACAGACAGCAGCTGTATATGCTTCTTTGCCAAACTTTTTCTTTTGTAAAAAGAAACAAACAACAAACCAAACAAAAAAGGATATCCCTGTGAGCAGCAGAACAAAACAAAACCCTTGCTTCTAGGTGGACTCAACAACAAATAGGGCTGTGCCTTTCTCTTGGTGGGAATACTAGCAGAGTTCCTCCTGTCCACAGGATCACTTCTGTTAATTAAATCTGTCCTCAAGCCCTCTGCTCCCCTGTCCCATCTGATGTGACAGGAGGTTCTGCATTCGTAGCCTCCCCAACAAGCACATGTGCACAGAGCGCAGCCCCATGTACATGGTTTTACTGGGAAACTGAGATCTCCGGCTTGTGACTGGCTGAAACATTGTGCTGAAACCTCGCCAGGGTGGTTATTCGCAAGGTCAAGGCAGCAGTTTGGTGGGAGAGTTCACATGGGTTGACTTCAGGCAGCTCTGTCAGTGCAGCTCTGAATGGCCACATCCAGAAAAGCTGGTTCCTCACACTGTGACCAAGTTTCTAAGCTCTGGCATGGGGAAGGCAGCAATCGGTTAGTGAGATGCAGGGGCAAGTATTGTGTAGCATATTATCCTGGAGGACAAATTCTTAATTTTGGGAAACTGGCTGTAATGAGGCAGCAATCTTACTCCTGCAGAAGCCAGTCAGACCAAATAGGTTTGTTCTGGCCAAGCCCAGGTCTTCTACAGCTGGTGGGATTGGCTGGACACATCTCTGTGATGGCTCTGTGAAAGCTGATTTCAGCTCCAGGTCCGGAAAACTCTCCATCATCCCCAGCAGCATCAGGAACTGGGACTGGGGGGGGATTTGTGGTTGGAGGTGGGAAGAAAGGTGTGTGACGTGTTGGTGAGCTCTGACTCCTCTTCTCGGGACAGGCCCGTGTCCCTGAGCCGTTGCACCTCCAGCAATGCCAGCGCAGAGCTGCAGTTTGGCATCTCGGACCCTACCCCTGGTCTGCAGAACAGCTGTCCCCAGGATGCCTTCGCAGTGGATCTCCACCTCTGCCTCCTGACACCCAGTGAGTGGAGTTGTGTGCTCCCACTGCTGTGGGGTGGGAGGGCTGGGGGGGACGGGACGCTGACCCCAACTTCCCATGGCATGGGAGGGGGGTGCCAGTGGGGACCCTGCTGCCTCCCAGTCGTGAAAGGGGATTTGCTGGGAGGAAGCTGGTGCAGACACACGTGTGTTGATGTGATGCCACCAGCCCAGGAGGGCAGCCTCGCTCACAGCTTCAGCATGTGCTCGTATGAAGGTGGCCACGTACTTTATCTGAGATATTGCTGCTCAGGCAGGGCTGAGCTCTGCTCAGGATTTCTTTCTGCAGTGTCAGATTTGCAGCAATGGCAGAAAAGCCCCGCCGCCCCCCCAGTCTCTCATGATGGCAAGGGCATGGTCAGGGAAACTGCCAGCAAACCCTTCCGTGTCAGCCTATCCATGGGAACAAAGCAGTGTGGCTCAGTCCTGACTCCGGAGCCAGCAAGAAAATGTACAGTGAGGTGTCCAGCCCCTGCAAAGGTCATACTTGGATCAGCTTGAAGCAATCAAGACCTGGGTAAAATGAAATGTAGGTTCCTCCTTCTCCTCCAGCCTCCTGAGAGGGGCAGGCAGTGGACCTCTCCCTCCTCTTCCAGTGCGAGAGACCACTCTGTACTGGCCCGTATTGTGTGACATGTGGGGCATGCCTCTTCCCCACTGCCCTGGGAGGTTGGTGAAGGAGTGAAGCTGATGTACGTGGCGATAGCAGGCCAGAAGTGAAGACTCACTCTGCAGGACAGGGAGAGAGGAGGGTGGGATGCAGGCTCTGGAGGAGCTTTTCTCCTGAGGTCAGGTGTGAAGCCAAGTGTTTTGGAAGGGGCACGCAGCTGGGAGCTTATTAATGGCCCTGAGCTGCACCCAGAAAACCATGTCTCTTTTTCCTCTAGACTGTTCCATATGGACCCTGCACCACAGGAGGATGCTGAAAAGCTTGGGAAAGGTCTTGGTGAACTCCCTAGAAGAGAAGTGCTCCTGCGGCGTCTCTGAACTCTACCTGCAAGGTTGGTGCCCTGCTCTGCTCACCCAGTTTGCAGTGCCCTCCTCACCCATCCACAGCTGCTTGTCATCAGGAACGGCCCTTCTCAAGCCAAACTTGCAGGCTTGCATTCAAGTGAGAGGAACTGGAGGACCAGTGGTGGGTACAAGGGACTTCAGCGAGGAGAGCCAGAGAGAGCCTGACACAGGCCATTTACTAGAGGAAAGGCAAGCTAGAGGGACTGTGAGGAATGGGAGTCTCTGATGATGCCTTGAGATGTCTGCCAGACAAACTGAGTATCCTAACCTGCAAAGCAAAATGCTGTTTGTACTGTAAAGGACTCTGGTTCTCAACTTTTCCTCTATCAGACTCATTCAAGTAGTACTGTTTGAAGTACTTGGACCAAAAAGTCACTTCTGGAAGTCTTAGGGATCTACAGCTGTTGAGGGATGGAAAGAAATGTTTCCTATTTTTCAGCTGGTTTTGTTAGGAAGTGAAGGCTTCGCAGCCATGCTTTGTCTCCCTCGCCCGAACACATTTTTGACCCTTTGAACAATTTCAGACAACTCTCACCAACAGGCAGAGATTGTGAAGTTATGAAGTGTAGTGCAAAGTATTCTGCCGGGTTGGGAGGACAACTCCTTTCATCACTGAAGGAAGAGTTGAGCGTGTGCTCAAGTTACCTGTGATACAGTATGGTGGCGTGATTTCAGAGAGGTGGGAAAAGAGGGTGAAGAGCATGGGAGCAGGAGGATATTACTGGAGCAATGAAGTCATGGGAGCAATGTGTTCCCAAACAGCCAGAGGGTTTCCAACCACCCCAAACCTGCTTCTGTTTCTCCACAGACCTGAACCTGATGTGCATGGGCTCCCTAGTGAAGGTCTGGGGCCAGGTGTGGGCTCGGCAGCTGGCGCAGCAGCGGTCCATCGAGACCTGGCGCCAGGGCTTCCTGACCAGCCCCCACTCCTTCTCCGTGGATGGGAGAGTGCTGGAAACCAGTCCTGAGTGCATCACCCCAAAAAATGCACTGTCCATGTCACACAATGGTGGTGAGTAGGAGGTGAAGCTAAGCACAGTGGTCTGCTTCCAGCACAGAGAGCGAGGCTGGGGCCGTGTCTCCACGTGAGAGGGGCAATGCAGGGCAAGCCGCCAGGGACCTCTGCCTTCTAGAAACTGGAGGGTCGTTACGAGAGAGGTAACAACGGTCAGTTCCTCTGGTGTGATGGGGTAATCAGCCCTATCACACCAATACCACTGGAAGTTTGGGTGTAAATCTTCTCGTGAGACTGGGCTTCAGCAGGGAGCCCCTTGCCTTTGGAGCTGCTGGACACATAGCCCAGAAGCCCTGAAGCCCAATTGCTCGGAGCCGCGGCTGGCAGCCAGGCTGGAGCTGGGCAGAGCCAGTGCACTGCAGGGCTGCTGCCAGGGGAGTGAGAGAGTGGCTCTCCAGGCCAGGAAGCTGGAACACCCAAACTGTTGTTGCCCAGAGAAGTTGTGGGTACCCCATCATTGGAAGTGTTCAGGGTCAGGTTGGAGAGGGCTTTGAGCAAGCTGACCTAGTGAAGTATGTCGCTACCCACAGCAGGGGGTTGCACTAGACAATCTTCAAATGCTCTTTCCAACCCAACCTATTCTGTGACTGTTATTCTGTGACCTCCTGGTGGCACACTGTGCAGGGAAAGGTCATGGCTACAATGTTCCATCTCTACCTTTTGTACCCTCAGCTTCCTTCCAGGGCTGGGAAATCACCCTGTTTGTTGTGGGATCTCTCCTGCTCGTGTTCTTGTTGGGCGGCCTGGCATTTTACTTCACCAAAAGGTGAGAAACCACTTCCCATCTGCCTTGCATCTCTTACCCTCTCCTTCCCCAGTGCTTCCTCTCTAATCGCTGTGCAGGGACCTGCTCCTTCACTCAGGTGAACACGTCCATTCAGATGCTGCATCCAAACACTCCAACATATTGCTGCTAATTTTTACATCAAAGTCCCTTTGCTTTTGATTTGGCAGACTGCAGGTTCCACAAGAAGTTAAGATAACCACCAATAAAACCATGGATAATGCTAGACGTGTCAGTGGGCACAGTGTAAAGGCCATCGATCTTACAACATGCTGTGGTGGGAAAGCAGAAAGCTGAAGGCTCGTGGCACGCAAGGGGCAGTGAGAGATGATGCTTTGGCCACAGGGAAGAGCTCTTTCTTAGTGTGGGGTGGAAGCAACAGACAGTTTAGTATTACCTTCATGAGAAACATGAGAAACAGCTTTCACATTCTAACATGACACCACTTTAAATGATTACTTGGTATTTCCTAATGCAAACAGCAGCTTAACACTCAGGCAGTATGTTTGTCTGAAATAAATGTTACAGTGGATGGGTTATTTAACCATCCCAGGTGATTTATTTCCATTAATTTTTACTGATCTTCTTTCATCATTGGGTAGGGGCCTGATGTGTAGGAGTTAGAAATGAGGAAAGTTCTTAAAACACATTTGGGGTATAGAAAACTCAGTATGTATTTTTAATAGGAATTTTAAAAATACAGTAAGTCAGATTTAGGGAAGCTGTTTCAGAAACCAGGGTGATTTTAAGTTGATATACACGTAAACAGAGACCTTAGGAAACTCTGTGCCTGCTGAAGACTGGTCATCAAGCCTCTTAAGTACAAAGCTGAGATACAGATTAACTGCCTAGTGCAAAAGAGCAGAGTGACTGATCTTGCATTTTCCTTTGTCTATTGCTTTTCAGACGTCCCCAAAATTACACCAACATTGAAATGACTGACCGCAGGGAGATTGCAGCAGACTTCTAATGCTCCTGGGCCCAGCTGCAGCAGCAGGGTCTGAGAGTGCTGGGGCCAGGCATGTGTCTCTCTGGGGACAGACTAGTTGACCAGCTGCACTATCCACTGGGGTTGCTACAAGGACTTGCAAAATGCCCGGGTGTATATATACATATATGTGTGTATACAGCTCTGTGTGTATGTACATATGTGTGTGTATATACAGACACCTGAATTATTTTTACACTTCTAAATTTTAACATCAGACTCAAGGATTTCAAAGAAACAGGCTGGGGACTTCTTCTTCTAGGCGAAGTTTGTGCTAAGTGTGGTGACCAGAAAGAAAGAAGCCTGCTTGGCTGATGCAGAAGAAGGACATACTCTGTCTCGTCTCAAGATTCACTGCTGGGTGATGAACCAAGGCCACCCCTGGCAGACCTTTCCACCCAGCACACAAGTCCAATTTCTAGTCCCTGTGGGCTCCACTGCTACAGTGAAAGTACATCAGCCTCCCTTGAGTCCTTCTTGTCCAGGCAAGGGGGTTCTCAGCATCGTGCCTGTCTCTGCACCACCAGCATCCTGCACAGGGAGAGCCCTTGCTGCTGGGGACCACAACCAGGAGGACGTCCTGCCCAGAAAAGGGATTTAGAGGAGAGACGAACACCCAGTTCATGCCCAGGTGCAACTCTTACTCCTATGGCCCTGCCTGTATCCTGGCCAGACAGTGGCTAGGCGCAGTGCCAGACTCCGGATCTGCTGAGAATTTGGGGTGAGGAGGGTGACCTAGGTGGAATCTGCTCAATAAAAGATTGTTTCTTACACAAGTGTGATATACCCCTAATGGTGTAGCGGCTGATGCCAGGCCTCTGGTGTGTGGAGTGGTGGTTTCACCTCATGGGTTTGAGCACGCTGCACAGCTCCGCACACGGTGACAGCGCCCAAGACAGTTCCAGCCTGCTCACTGATGGGGCGAGCAGTACATAAAAATGAAGAAAGAGATCCCACACAGTTTCTGAACCATGGTGTAGATAGATTTTTACTGAACAAAGCTCTGCAGAAGGAGGGCATGAAGCGTTTCTGTGATTGATCATCACAGCACTGACCCTCGTGAGAGGAAACCTTGAATTTTCTCTGAGACCCACCTCCCTGCTGTGTCTCTCTCAGTTGCATCTTCTACTTGCTGGCAGCCCGCCTGTGCTGGTGAAGTCCCTGGGCCGCCAGCCAGCTCCAGCACCAGCCAGGATGGGCAGCATGAGAGAAGCGAGGCCTCAGCTTTCCATTGCCCTTTCTCCTATGCCAGCCAGCCCCTTTCAGCAACAGGGCTGAACACATGAGGCACCAGTGACCTTCCCTACTGGGTGCCCCATGTAATCCTCAGGCAGCTGCCACAGCCTCTGAGAGATGACTCTTCTTCAAGGCTTCACCCGGCCATCAGTGCAGCGCTGCTAGTGCATGCTGACATCGCATGAGGTCAGATAAGCTCCATCTTGAACTGGCTGAAACTTGGCACAGTGGGCGAGGGCTCAGCCGTGCCACTGAAGGGGATGCAGGGCTGGTTCGTTGGCACTGTGCCATGGCTCACGGTGGAGCTGAGCTGCTGCAGTGTCATCAGCACCTCCTGCTGCAGCCGCTGCTGGTGCTCCTGCTGTCGCTCCAGGCGGCATTGCCTCTCCAGCACTGTGTGCAGGGCCTGGCTCAGCTTCTGGATCTCCATCTGCACAGCATCCAGCTTTTCAGCAATGGCATGGGAGCTGGGAGCAGGGGGAAGCACTGGTCCACCCCAAGCAAGGTTTGGATTTCCTAGTGGGAAGCAGGAGCAAAGGGAAGATGAAACATTGTCAGCTGCTCCTTCAATGGCATTTAGCAAGAGACAGATTTATTCTACACTTAGCTACAAGGCAGGAGAGAAAGCGATCGCCTTGTTGTGGACCTCTAGACCCAGACACACTCTGAGCTGCACTTCGTCCCCATCCAGCCCCTGTGCCACTGTTCCACAGGAACGCCACGTTTCCC